GTTACTAGGGGACGCTCTCCGGCATTATAAATACACTGCGATAATTTTTTATCACTCTTCTGATCTTATCCGTCAATATGTAATTCTCTCATGGAAAAACGCGTTACCTTTTGGGAACACACACACACACGCGCGCGCGCGCACGCGCGCGAGTACACACATTCACTCGCTACACATACTTTGGACCAAAATGTTTCCACATTCATTTGTTACACACATTATTGTCTTTGTTGCTTGTAACCCTTTTGTTGTTAATACATTATCATTTGTTTGTACATATATATCAGTTCTTGTTGTTTCTTTACATTTTGTTACGTGGACTCACATCCCGTGTCCGCCATGTTTGTGTTGGGCATTTCAAGGGACACACGTATTTACTCTCTCAACGCGTACACCAGCCCGCAGCATAATAGTTATGAATATATAATTGAATAATATGTAATTGTACTTTTTTAAAGAATAAATTGTTAATAAGAAAATGAACCAGAAACAAAAACAGAAATTATTTATGACTCAACCTAATACAGTAGAACCAGCAACAATAAAATGAAGGACCCCTGCTACTGTTAATACCACCGCAAACGCTCTTCCAAGTAAGCATAATAATATAAAAGCCGTCTGGGTTTAACAAGTGCAACTATGTGTGGATGTTGGGTTAAATGTGACTAGCAACACGTGCTCAAAGATTAAATGAATGTATTTCCTCTCTAGGTCCATGCGAAATTTCAAATCTAATACATTTATTTCCGGACAGAGACAGGGTCAATATAAACGTGACATTCAAGTTAAAATATCCTGGCAAAGTCTGGTCCATTATTCAAGATAGATGAAGCGAAAGACAATCGAGAGACAATTAGGTATTAGGTATATATATATATATATATATATATATATATATATATATATATATATATATATATATATATATATATATATATATATATATATATATATATATATATATATATATATATATATAATAAAAGAAAGAACAGTAAGATATATAATCCGGTGTTCTTATAGATATTTTTTTTATTTTTACAAAATGGTGCTCAATGTAAATTTACAGAGCATTAATTTTATAAATTAATTGATTTAAAATATGTTTTTTTTTCGCTACACAGTTCTAACCATGATTCAAAAATTTTTGAAACAATTGTTTACATCAATTAATTCATAATATGTATATATTTTAAATTAATTTATTTATAATATATACATATATATATATATATATATATATATATATATATATATATATATATATACTTAATCGTGTGTGTATATATATATATATATATATATATATATATATATATATATATATTAAAAAAGAAAGCATTTGGAAGACTGTTCAGACATTGATAGGAATGGTTTTCTCTCACACCCAGTGCGAATTTCGACCGCCTACTATAGACTGATATTTAATAAACAAGTCCTATCAGTGAACTTTGCTAGTGTAGTAAGTTCGATTCTCAGAGAGAGTCCCACTATATTATGACAGAGTGGGAGAGAGACAGGGAGAGAGAAAGGGAAAGATGAAAAGAGAGAAGGGGAGAGAGAGGAAGGGAGGGACCGATGAAGAGGGAGGAGAAATATAGGGAGATAAAGAGAGAGAGAGAGAGAAAGAAAGAGGTAGTGAGGAGGAGACCGAGAGGGAAAGAGAGAGGATAAATATAGGGAGAGAAAGGGAAAGAGAGGTAGGGAGGGGGCGAGTGAGTGAGTAAGGGAAGGGAGAGAGAACCCGGTAGAAGAAAGAAAGAAAGAAAGAAAGAAAGAAAGAAAGAAAGAAAGAAAAGGAAAAGAAATAAGCATAGTTGGATAGGAATATTTGATTGAAAGAAATGAATAAAATAAAGAAACACACACACACACACACACACACACACACACACACACACACACACACACACACACATATATATATATATATATATATATATATATATATATATTAAAGGTAACAAATCCGTTGGTATATAATCCAAGTGCATCCTAGTAATAATAAATATTACAACTGACCCACAAAAAAGAGCTCAATGTATGTATTATTCCAGAGCAAATAATTAATAAACAATAAAATCCAAAATCGTGTCAGAAATAGAAATTTAACTGTGAAAGTTAAAAAAAAAAACAAACAAACAAAAAATTTATCCATTTCAATGTTTCATTCAGACGAAAGGCACGAGGCAGGGATCAGGGGAGAGTAGAAGGTATTTGTCTTAAAGGGAAAAAGTTTTATAAAATTAAACACGAATATTAACGTTATGACATCCAAAACAGAAAATTTTCAGTTATCTGTTTTGGATAAGACTTGTTGTTTATGTCCATCGTCTTTGTCAAATTGAACTGAATTGTATTTTAATGAATATTGTCATGAAAAAGGTTTATTAAACCGAATAGTCAGACGTCGACATTTCATTCATTTTAAACAACATAATTGCATTTAAGGATTTTTGTTTCTTTTTTCCAAATTTTTTCTTATATATATATATATATA